TGAATCAGTCTTTACTGAAGAAGGTATGATGTTTGTTATCGCAGAGTTGTTTAGAGAATATCTTTTGGGCTGAGGTACTTTCATATGCGAGACACCTCATTAATAGGTTGTCTTCATCTGTGATTGAGGGGAAACCCTTATGGAGATGTGATCGGGAGAGCCAGCACACGACTATGATCAGATCAATGTATTTGGGTGCTCTGTATTTTATCATGTTAGAACTGATAAATTAGAATCTCGAGTTAGGAAGGTCATATTTGTGGGATTCAAGCGTGATGTTAAAGGATAGAAGATTTGGGATCTAGTTGAGAAGAAGATTATGTTGAGTAGAGACGTTACTTTTGATGAGGTTTCGCTCTTGAAGTTTCCTTGCTCTCATCAGGTGGAGAGCACCCCGATAGAGAAAATATCGCAGGTGGTGGAGATTGATGCAGCTCCACAGAGTCTAGTTAGGACCATATTCATTAGAGTGGCGCATGAGGTGACGCCAGATGAGCACAATGATGATTTAGAAGATACAGGTACAGTAGAGCAGGATCAGGGACCGATGGCTTAGGTTCAGGATTCGATTGCGGTTCGAAGACCCAGGAGACATACGGTTGCCAGCGAGGTATACAGATACAATGGTTGTGTATGCACTTCCAGTGGAGAGTATCGATGAGATGATTCCTACTATATTCAGAGAGGCTGAGCAGAGTTCAGAGACTGATTTGTGGCAGGAGGCTATGCGAGAGGAGATGGAGTCTCTTTAGAAGAACGACACATGGGAGCTTGTCGAGCTTCCAAAGGGGCAAAAGGCAATTGGTTGCAAATGAGTGTATACCAAGAAGGAGGACATTCAAGGCACTGCAGTGAGATTCAAAGCTAGGTTGGTAGCGAATGGTTATACACAGGAAGAAGGTATTGACTACAATGAGGTCTTCTCTTCGATGGTGAAGCACCCTTCGATTTGGATCTTACTAGTTTTGGTGGCACAGTATAGTTTGGAATTGGATCAATTAGATGTGAAAACGATATTTCTTCATGGTGATCTTGATGAGGAAATTTATATGACTCAACCATTGGGGTTTCGAGCTGCAGGAAAGGAGAAATTAGTGTGTAGATTGAAGAAATCGCTATACGGGTTGAAGCAATCTCCGAGATAGTGGTATAGGCGATTTGATGGGTTCATGATTAGCCATTCGTACATTAGGAGTTAGTTTGATCCTTGCGTGTACTATCATAAGTTGTATGGAGGTGCGTACACTTACTTATTGCTTCATGTCAATGACATTTTGGTTGCTTCTATTTCCAAATCCGCCATAGATAGATTAAAGATTCAGCTTTCGAGCGAGTTTAAGATGAAGGATTTGGGTGAAGCGAAGTGCATTTTAGGGATGAAGATCAGCAGAGACAAAGATAAGGGCAGAATTAGTTTGATACAAGTGGCTTATTTGAAGAAGGTTTTATAGCGATTCAATGTAAGCATGAAGACGAAGCCAGTCAGTGTACCTTTGGGAGCCCATTTAAAACTTTCAATTGATCTTTCACTAAAGACAAATGAAGATAGAGAGTTGATGTCGAAGACTCCATATGCGAGTGCAACGGGAAGCTTGATGTATGTCATGGTTTGTACGAGACCGGATTTATCACATGCAGTTAGCATGGTTTCACGATACATGCATGATCCAGGTCCGGGTCATTGGGATGCTTTCAGGTGAATATTGAGGTACATTTGAGGTACTCTCAACGTTGGTTTGGTGTTTGAGCAGGACACTAGTGATGGGCAGTTATGTATTGGTTACTTCGATTCAGACTATGCTGGAGATTTGGATAAGCGTCGGTCGACAACGAGATATGTGTTCATTTTGACTCGTGCGTCGGTGTGTTGGAGATGCACGTTACAGTCTACAGTTGCTTTGTCGACGACAAAGCCAAAGTACATGGCGATTGCAGAGGCTGTTAAGGAGACAATTTAGCTTCAAGGACTTTTGGAGGATCTTGGTGTTTCATAATGGTCTGCCACCATTCATTTTGATAGCATGAGTGCTATTTATTTGGCGAAGAATCAAGTTTTCCATGCAAGGACAAAACACATCAACGCTCGCAATTACTTTGTCCGGGGTGTTCTTGAAGATGGGGATGTGGAGCTCGTGAAGGTTCACACAAGAGACAATCAAGCAGATATTCTCACAAAAGTGGTCCCAAACAATAAGTTAGATCATTGTAGAAAATTGTTATGGATTTGTGCTTGTTGAGGCCTGTCGAGGCCATTTGGAGGAACTACGGATGACTTGATCCCATGGGAGAGGGGGTACATAGGCAACCACATTGATGCTCTTGTTGATGTCGACTCAGTTTTAGGAACACTTCACTGAGGTGGAGAATTGTTGGATTCCTAGTCTGTTTTGATTTTAATTTTAGAATTGTTGGATTCCTGATTTGTTTTGGTTTTAGGGTTATTGGGAGTCCTAGTCTGTTTTGGTTTTGATTTTAGAATTATTGGATTCCTAGTCTATTTTGGTTTTAGGGTTTTTGTATATATAGAACATTTTAGAAGAGATTAGCATAAGAGAGAAAAAGAGTCTTTTGAGCACTTTGAGAGTGAGATTATTGTGAGGGAGTGAGAGATTGTTGGTTAGAGTTATTTTGAGTATTTGAGAAAGTTGTAACCCATTGTATTTCTCCTCCATATAGTGAAATCTCTCCATCCTCTCCCTGTGGGCATAGGCAACTTGTCGAACCATGTAAATTTTTTGTGTTTGTGATTGATTTGTGCCGTTCTTTTGTGAATTGCACTCATTGGTTATTCTCCTCCTGTTGCTCGCTGACTTGTTTGGTTCGTGCGCACGCTTCTGCCGACGCGCAACAAAAACCTCACCCACATGTTTCATAATGGGTTCAGACCCACAACCTACTCAAGTTAAAACCCACCTTCTTTATCAATGATCAGGAACTTCCACAAATTCGAACCGAATCTTTTTCCAGTGGGCATGATCAAGGGTGTTTCAGTTCCTTTGAAGCATGACGTATGCTTAGGAACACTTAAGCCAGTTTAGATGTTGGGTTAATGCTTAACCCAACTAGAATTAGAGAAATTAACATAATCTCTTACAAAGGGCCAAAACTGTAATATGAATGAAGATTTCACAGACTAATAAGTAAATACTGAGATTTAATGGACTATTTAGCAATTAAGGATAATGGAAGAGTAGGGGTGACAAACCGTATTTGTATCCAAAGAAAAATCCGTAGCCATATCTGTTAGGATACGGATATAGTTACTCAAATCTATAACCGATAGGATATGGTTACGGATATGATTTTATAGGGAACATATCTGGAACCGTATCTGAAATATCTGAATACATGTTAGTCATATCGTTATAATGGTTTTAGTCTTTTAGATTATGGATATGAGGTTAATTTTGACAATCAAGATATCTAATCTTAGCTTTTCAAATATAACGAACATATTAATGAACTCTTTTGTATCGCATGAACTATATTTTTTCTACAATATCTTGTTTCTCATATTCGTTTTATATCCACATGCATATCCGCTTATATATTCGTACGTATATCCGTATTTGTATCCGATTTTAGTGGATATAGGCATGAATTTTCCTTACCGAGGTATATCCGTATCAGTGTCTGTGTTCATATCCGAAATAAGTAAGCAGATATGAATATGGTAAGCAACATATTCGAGCCATATCCAAACCGAATCCACCCCTATTAAGAGACTAATATGAAATTATCGTACCTTAAAAATGTAAGGGGACTAATATCGAGAAATGAGTTTTTTAGAAAAGATCTTTTTTGCTAAATAGTTAGCAAAACCGACCTCTTTTTGGCCAACAGGCAAAAAAGAGGTTAGTTTTGCTAAATTAGCTCTTCGAAACATACGAGACTAGTAGTCCCGTATGATTAGTGACCACTAAATCTAAGACACAAAACCCACGAGACTATTAGTCCCGTGAGTTTTTTCCCTTTTTCATTTTCCTCCTTTCTTTCTTTTTTTTATTCTCATGTACCGCAGCCGTAGCCGATCGCCGGCGGTCGCCGCATTCCATCAGAAGCCCTATCACTGTACTCTTCAGCTCCTCGAATGCCTTGATCTTCCTTCTTATCTCGGATTCGGCGTCCTCGTCTTCGTCGGAGGTCTCAGCTTCGGTCTGTGGTGGCTGCAGTCGCAGGCGACTGAGTCGAGGAGTCAACGGTGGAGTGTGGCGGCGGAGATCGCAGGAGGTTTAGTGGTGCCTCGATCTTCCCTCTTGTCTCGGATTCAGCATCCTCGTCGTCGTCAGAGGTTGAAAACGGGAGCTTGAGGAGCTCTTATAGTTGTCCTGATGGAGGTTTTCGCGTCGGTCTCGACTTTAGT